AGGAATGCAGCTCTCCCTGCCTCCTCCAGCTCCTCCCGCTGGAAGCATCTCTTTGCACCCTGGGTGAGGGGCTGCCAGACCCCTGCTGCACCCGCAGACCAGTGCTTCCAGAGCTCTGCAGGCCCAGGTCTTCCTTCACAGCCAAGCTCTGCTTCCTCCAGAGAATAGGGAGCAGGATGGATGGGTCCTCCAGGATCCCAGCAGTGGATGGTGACACGAGAAGGACTTTGTGCAGCCAGCTCCCAGGCTCCAGAGCATCCCGGGGGCAGTTGGGAACTGCAGGGGCAGGGAGCTGGGTGGGGGGATTGGGGTCAGCAAGTGCAGCCCCTGGTGTTTCGAGGAGCAGGAAGCACTGTGCAAACATGCTGAGATTCACCTGCTGTTCACCCTTCCAACATGGAGAAGGCCAGACCCTGGCCTGGCTCAGGGGAAGGGACACAGCCACGCTGGGCAAGAGCAGAGGTCAGTTTTGTCTCCATCCTTACTTGTGGCAGAGCTGACTGCTCAGCCCGACTCCTCCCTGGTACCACCAGCTCCCTGCACTGGCTGGAAGGACCAGCAGACCCTCCCTGACAGACTGTGCTCCACATGGATGCTAAATGGGTGCTTCTCCAGTGCCTCAACAGTGGGCAAATGCAGTAGTGCTGGAGCGTGGCCTCCCAGCTCCAGCAATGACATGAAGTGCGTGCACACAGGAAAAAGAGGCTTCAGGAAGGTGCCCTGACCAGGGGACTCGGGCAAGTCAATGGCTTGGAAGTGCTGAGGGTCACCAGCTCAGCCAGCTTGCTGCTGCTGCACCATGTTCAGCCCCTTCCCAGCAGGCACAGCAGCTGCCGTGGGAGCAGGGGCACGATGTGCTGAGCCCACAGCAGCACAGTGACCACGGGGAGTGTCTGGCAAGGGGAGGATTGATAACAGTCCACCCTGGTGTCCCACATGCTCCAGTTGCTGGCTGAGGAACAGCACAGGAACTGCTGCTACAAGAGGACCTTGTCCCGGCCTGACAGCTCCTTTCCCTTGGGCCACCCTGGCTCAGACAGTTCCCAAACACTCATCTTCAGCCAAACGACAGAGCAGCAGCAGCCACAGCAGGGTCACCATCCAGACTGGCTGCTAGATCTAAAACACACCCAGAGATCAGTTGCTGCCACCTGCCCAGGTGAGGACGAGGTCCAGGGGTAGGGGCAGTGCTGTGCGACCGCCAGGATGGCCAGGAACAAAAGACATGGATACCTAAGTAACAAGAGCAGAACCCTGAATCCCACGTGTTTCTAAAGGACAGGCATGCATGGTGGGGAAAGGGAAGCTTGCCTTACTCTGGAGCAGAAGTGGGGATGGCTAGAATTGCTTTCAGAAGACCTACCAGAAGTGGCAGAACTGGTTGGAAACCCCATAGCACTACCAGGGTGGCACAAGTGCCAGTGCAGAGCTCTGGTTCTGCCTGCCAAGTCCTGATGGGAAGAACCTCGTAGCTACCAGTGGAACAACTAAGACCAGAGCAACTCCGCATGGTGTAGACAACTTCAATGCAAACACAATCCAATGTCTAAGTACATATAAGGTGGGGTAGACTTCATAAAACCCGTGGTAATGCTGAGAAAAATGAAGGTCTGGGAGGGCACTGCCCTTCATTTCCAAATACTAGAGCGATTGCTTCTGGCTTGGACCCCACCAGAACAAGCTGCTGGGTGGAGTGCTGGGTGGGAAGAGTCCTTGTGTGGAAAGGTGCCCCAAGATGAAAGTGCAGAGGGAACGTGGCTGCAAGACTGCTTCTGTGCAGGTCTCAAATCTTACCATTGCAGGGTCAAACTCGCAAGAGGAGCACGTACATGGGACAGGGGCAAGGAAGAAGGGCTGGGGGCAAAGAGTTATTCATGCTTAGACAACCTTTCCTTGGAGGAGCAATCAGGCCTACCACCTTCTTTGGAACAAACCAAGCTGAGGAAGAAAAGCTGGAAGGAGAAGTCAGTTTACTGGTAACAGAGTTTGCCAATTTTCTTTCTGCTGCTTCCCCTTCTCCCCTGCACCTGCCTGTCCCTAGCCCGATGGTTTATTTGTCCTCTGTCCACTCTGGGATGTTGGCCCCTACTAAGGCAGCCCGGTACTGCTGCAAGACACCGCGGATGCTTTTGATGAACCCCTTGGACAAAGGGAAGAGGGGGAACCCAATATCAGGGTAACCACTCTTCTCCGGAAGGAAACTCCTGTAGCTCTTTCTCCGTTTCTTTGGTTTCACGCTAGGCTGCGAGGCAGAGTCCTGGGCAACCTTCCCTTCGTCCGTTCGGTCTCTGGCCAGGTCTACCCCCCTGGCTTGGCCTGTGCTCTCAGAGTCTGAGTATTGTTGGAGATCACCAGTGTTGGGCGTCGAGGTTGTGAACTCCGACTCGTCCAGCTCCTCCTTCCCGTCGAGCGCGGAGTCGGAGAGCTCGGCGGCCGCCCCCTGCTCCGAGCTGCTGCCGTAACCCCCCAGCGACCCCGCCGTGTCTCCCGGGCTCTCGGCCAGGGTGCTGCAGGCAGAGAGCAGGGAGGCAGAATCTGCCCCGTTGGCCAGGTCGTGGCTCCGCTCCACCAGCTCGTTGGTCTCCAGCCAGGACTCGATGCGGGACACCAGGCGCCAGCCGTGGCAGCGGAAGTGCTCCCGGATCTCGTGCTCGAACACCTCGACCGGCTTGCGCAGCAGCTGCATCATGGACTGCACCACCCGGATCAGGGTCATCTCGTTGTAGCAGCGACTGTTCTCGTAGCCCTCCTGGAGGCCCCGGTCGCTGTCAAAGCCTGCCTCGTTGTAGTAGGGCTCATTGACCAGGATGAGACCTGCCGGGAGAAGGAGAGACCAAGGGGTCACGGGAGGAACTTCACCGCGAATCGCGGGCGCTGCTGGGCACTGAGTTCTGGCAGGGTGGCTGAGCTTGGAGGGTGACAGCACCACC